TACTACTAATATATATATATATATATATATATATATATATATATATATATATATGTTATATATGTAACTTTACAATTACATTGGCACTAATTCTTTGTGCAGAGTCAAGAGCTGAACAACAACATTGATATGAGAGAGAGATGGGATGAGATAAATGAGATGTAGCGGACAAAATCGATCGCTTTATGGAACTTAGCAAAATATAATCTCAAGAAAATGCTCAATGTTGCGTCCTCCGTTTTTCCTTCTTTCTTCTTCTTTTTTTTATGCTTACATTTGACAGCATAACTTCTTTGATCTAATAAAAATGCATTCTAAAACAGTAGAATGGCTTTAATTATCGCACAAGATATATCGTTACGCAAACGAAACAAAAAAGATCAGCATCGTTTTTCTTTTTTGTATATACAATTAGAAAATATCTTCACTATCATATTGTTTTTTTCGTTCGGTATTACTCGGTTGTTTCGAAAGTTTTTCTGACGGTCTATAAATCGTAATATACGGACTGAAATATTACGCTCGAATAATTTTCTTCTTCGTATATTCGTCTATATTTATCTAATTAAACAAAGATGTAGATCACCGTGAAATTTTGCGCTATTTTATAGGAATAATCGCACATGACCTCACCTCTGTCATCGTGAATCTCGATAAAATATATAAATATAATCGTCGCTAATTATTGCAAATTATGTAATGAAAGTAACTCTAACTTTTAATATGATATCGTACACCGTACATTACTTCATATATATATCTATATTCTTTTTCCTCCTCTATATAATTCTTACTTTCACAGGCGTATTAGTGTACTCTTCATTTTACAACTGCTTAAATTTATTGGCATAAATGAAAACCGCCACATCCTCTTCGTTTTTCAATACGAACTGCTGAATTAGATAAATAGAGCTATAGTTTTATGTTTCATAAGAATTTCAGAAGAATGATTTCTCATAGATCTTAGATCGACAGTGTATTTTGTACCTTATAAGGTGACACACATCGACGCGACAAATAAGAAAAAATATACTGCGTATATAACGCCAGAATGTGTGTATGCGTATATGCGGAACTTATATGTATCAACGTTCGTTTTATGTGCACATATTCACAACTTCTCGATTTAATATTTTAGTAAAATATCTTTCTTTTCTTGCTTATACGTATATGAAATATGTTTGAACTTTTTAATACAACAAACAATGCCGGTGATGCCGATTCTTAACGTTTTTTTTATCATTTCTAAATTGAAGATCTCGTCTTATTTGTTTTGTACTTATATAGTAGATAGGACGTTTATTATATTCTTCCATAACGATACGCATTCTGTCGCACAATTTTTTTCTTTGCAAAGACATTATTATGACTTAAATAACTCCAAAAAAAATCTTAGAAAACAGATTTCTTTGCATGTAGCAATATAAAAATTAATTTACAACTGTTTCAATTCGAAACATAATGTTAAAAAGTTAATTTGCATCTTTTGAATTCAACAAGATAAAAGTGCAACAATTGCATCATACTTTTAACACAAATTCAATACGTTAATATCTGCATCTCATGCATGTAAAAAAAATCAACTGATTGCATTGTGTAAAAACATACAGTGTACAACCTTTTTAGAGACCATGTCACAAAATAGCAACGAATTATATTTCTTAATAAAGCACATAAATACCACGTGAACTAAGAATACAAATATATTCATATAAATCGTTTCATCTTCTCTAATTATTTATATGAATTATTTATATGAATAAAGTTGTGTCACCTGTTGTGACCTAAAATATCTTGCTAGAATTGCACAAGAGCTATTCTATATATTCATCTCTTGTTCACAAAAAAAAAAAAAAAAATAAAAAAATAAAAAAAAAATACTTGATTTAGCACCAATTTTATACATGTTATTTCATCTCCCGCACTCAGAAAGAAATATCCTTCATACACTCTGTTAAAACAAGACTATCTAATCTCCGTTTTATACAGTGTATTTCGGTAATGTTTACACGTTTCCTTAAAGTGAGATCATTAAAGCGAGAATTTAAGACAACAGACATCCGTATTACAAATACATCACCTCGTTAATATAAACAGTTTTTACCTGGCACTCTCTCTCTCTCTCTCTCTCATAATTAAGAATCGACATCCATTTGACACGGAATAATACATCCGCTGCAGCTTTAATTAACCTGTTACATTGACCGATAAGGTCCCTGCATCTTGAGAAACTGGACCACCAGCGACGCTCCGTTGGCCACTATCTCCGGCGGGATCTGCGACAACGGGCAATTCGAAATTGACATAACACTGAGCTTCGAGCACAACGCTAGCTCGAACGGCAGATTGTGCAGGTTCAGATTGTCGTCGATGTAGAGCGACTCCAGGTTCTCCAGGGTGCCGATCTCCTCTGGCAGATAACTCAGATTGTTCTCAGCCACGTTGAGATAAGTAAGGTTTACCAGATGTCCGAGCGCGCGCGGCAACGAGTTGATCTGATTTGATTGCAGAATTAGCTTCTGCAGCTCGCGCAGGAAGCCAATCTCGCTCGGTAACGAGTCTATCCGATTCTCTTCCAGATCCAGCACACGCAGTTTACGCAGATTTCCTATACTAGTCGGGATGCGCTTCAGCAGATTATTGGACAGTATTAGTACTTCTAGACTTTGCAGATATTGTATGTCCTCTGGTAGCTTCATCAATCGATTCGTACCCAGGTTCAGTTCGACCATGTTTACCCAGGTGCCTATGTCCAGTGGTAGAGCTGTCAGCTGATTCTCCTTCATGTTCAGTTTTGTGAGGTTCTTGGCACGGGAGAAGATACCGTACGGAATCTTGTCGATCTGATTGTGCTCTAGATTAATGGAGTAGACATTCGTGAACTGGGACGGTCCGCCTGATGGATACGCGGTGAAGTTGTTCCTCGACAGTGTGATCGCCGTCAGATCTGACAGATTAGACAGCAGACCGTCTGGCAACTGCGATACCTGATTACCCTCCACACTAAACTCGTCCATCATCTTACAGTTTGCCAATGACTTCGGGATACTTGTCAATCTATTATACCGGAGACCGAGTCTTGTTAGCAACGTTAAATTGCCTATCGTCTCCGGTATATCCAGGAGTTCATTGTGTTGCAAATCCAAAGTTGACAATTGTACGCATTTACCAATCTCTTCAGGCAAATGCTCTAAATGATTGTGAGAAATGTCGAAAGTAATTAGATTGATAAGTTCGCCTATTCCTGCAGGCAATTCTTTGATCTTATTTTCCCGCAGGCTCAGCATAGTCAAGTTTGTCAAGTTCCGTATGCTGTCATTGACATACTTCACACGATTAAAGCGTAAAAATAATGTGGTGAGTGATGTAAGTTTATATACCACATCTGGTATTTCGTTGAGTTTGTTATGTCTGAGATCTAGCACTCGCAGTGACTTGAGATTTTCCAAGGTGTTGGGCAAATTGGTGAGCCAATTCTCGCTCAGTGCCAGAGTCTCCAGATTTGCCAAATAACCGATTTCTGATGGCAGAGTTACTAGTTTGTTACCGTAAAGATAGAACTCCCTCAGATGCGTCAGCTCGCGTACAGAACCAGGCAGATTCGTGATGCTGGACTTACTAAGGTCCAATCGCTTCACACATTCATCCCTACAACGAACAAGCTCCTTGACCACGTCTAGATCTGCCTGGATCGGCTTACCCTTCTTCGTGGTAGGTTTTGGCTTGTTTGACTCTGGATGCTTGACCATAACAGTCTTCTTGATGTCTTGAACAAATCCACCGCTGCCACCACCTCCGCCGCCGCCCCCGCCGCCGCCGCCGCCGCCGCCGCTGCCAATTGTGCTAGACAGCTTCTTCTCTTTATTGTCACGCATCTCCATGTCTTCGGGCATGTCACTGCCGGCCGTGCAGGTGGTCAACCCGCAACCTTCAAGATATTCGGGTATATCCTGCTCCTTCATGTAAAAACTCGACAGACTGTCGTCGCCGAAACTCGATGTACGATCGCGTTTCGTGTTCGACAGACACACCGTCGATATGTTACCCACGCCCGTCCAGTATACGCACGACTTCATAAGAAACCCCCCGCCACGCGTCGCAAAACACGACGTCTACGAACTCGCCCGAGAGAGAGGCGAGGTTCGCACGCACGTACGTATGTACGCACGCATGCACACACGTACGCCCGCCCCCGATGAACGATGAGTTTGACGCCAAAAATACCGTATGACCGTGCCCTTCACCGCGGTGTCGTATTCATACGCGAACCCGCATAAAATCAACGCTTGACTACGAGTATTGACGTTATCGATGTAGAGCTATCTGTGCGTACCATGAACACATGGCGCAAACGCAAACGTATTAATGGAGAATTCACAGTGCGTCCAATATACGAGATATTGATAGTCAATAAAAAGAATGTACTTTCTAGGAACTTTGTCTAACGCCATAACAGCTTCTTTTAGGGAATATAAAATCCTTGCATTATGAATGCAGTATGAATCTACCATAAATGCGATGCACGTACTCGCGTTCCTCAATGCATCAATAAAATGCAAAAAGTGCAAGAAAGTGTAGCTGCGATGAACAAACCTTTGCGTGGAAGTGCATACATACGTGACTGTTTTCAGCGACTGGTGGAAGAAGAAGAGAGAGAAAGAGAGAGTGAACAGCGATGCGTTGGCCAGCCGGCGGAGAGAGGAGTCGCTGCACGAGCGAGTAGAGTCGGCCATATTAGCTCGAGCGCAGTGTTTGTTTTGTCAGTGGAAGCTGCGCTTGGCTTCGGCGAATCCGTCCCTCGGCGGCAGAACAACGGGCGGATTTTAGCCGTTACGCGATACTCTCGCATTAATCTCATCGTATCTGGTTGCGAGGCATCGTTCCCCGTCATCGCTGCCCGACCGTTGCGCCGCTCCCGTTTACCCCCCCGTTCGGCCTCTCTTCACCCCCGGGCCACGGCCCGCACGACTGGGTGTCAGTCGTACACGGGACACAGTGAGCTTGAGAACATCACGCCGCCACCGTCAGCAGCACCATGGCGTGCGCCACACTCAAAAGGTCCTTGGAGTTCGACCCGGTGCACAGCCATGGCCGGCCCAACAAGCGACGGAGATGCATACCGATGTCGTGCGCGTCGCCCGGTACGTCCGCATCGTCGCCGCGCGGCTGCCCGCTGCCACAGAAGACCTCGCCGTTCGACGAAATAGCCTGCAAATTGACGCCTGGTAATTTGCACCGCAGGCTACGGCCATTTTTTTTCTCTCGCTCTTCGTTGCTCTTATCGCGTTTCTCTGTATTTATCTTTGTCTTGCTTTCTCGCCCCTCTCTTTCTTTCTGTTGCACGCACTCGTTTTCTTGCATATTGAAGAAACAGAGAGAAAGAGAGTGAGGAAAAGAGATAGAGGGACGAAGCAGATGAAAGAGAGACAGGGAGGAGAGGCGGCTAAGCTCTAGCGATTTAAAACCCGTATTGGCGGTGTCCAACGGATAAGGGGGGGAGGGGCATGGGCACGCGTAAATCATATGGTAATGTAGTAACGGACGCGCTTGGGGATTCGGGTTTTCGTCCCTTTCTTCTTGTTTTTCTATATTGTAAAAGGAAGCGCATAACTTGATGAGCAAAGCTGCACCCAAAGACGGGTTTTCTACTTTCTTGCATGTGACAGGTTTATAATAGTGCACAGTATTATGCCACAAATTGTCATTACACATACACACGCACGCACACGCAATCAACATATCTCACACAAGTTGGTATATATATGTTGGAAATGATGCTTCATTTTTGAAGAAAGATCATTACTAATGTTTGCACTGGCAACAAAAATGTCCGAGATACGATCGGATGATTAATAAATAAATTGAGATTGAAAGAGAGTAAATGAAATATTGTGCAGATATATAGAATTTGCAGTTTGAACTTTTAATTATAAATATACTATAAAAATGCTATAAATAGAGAATTGTGCATTTAATCAAATTAGATTTCAGAATTAATATGATTATGCAGGCTACATGTCTGCATGATGTAATTATTATTGTACTTTGATAACAAAGTGATTTATTTAAATATCTTTTTAAATACCTTACACTTGATATAAACTTGAAGAAAGAAATAAAATGTGTCATTAGTGTATTCTACAATTATATTACTTTACGTAATTCTTCATGCTATTTTTAATAGCTATGAAATTTTTATCTAAATATACAAGAAGGAAAGGAATAATTTTTTACTAGATAGTAATCATTAATCTGTATTTAATATTAATATAATATATATGAAATATATCTCTCTTTAAAACATTTACCTAAACAGAAAAGATGGCTGCCAACATCAGAGAAGAAATTCGCAGATTGCATCGACGTAAGCAATTACACTTTCATCCACAAACCAGTGGCGGGGATTCATCAGATATGGAGGGCCCATCTAGTCCTTCCAGCCCATCTGCCTCTTCTTCAACTCCCTTTAGTCATAGCTCTAGCGGAAAGGAAAAACCCCTTTTCACATTTAGACAGGTAATTTTGTTTATTAATCACATTTTGTAGCATCTAAATCTGCTTTCTATTTATTTACATTATTTTGTCAGATAAATATTAAATATTAATTATATAGGAGAAATCAGTTTTCCCACTTGGTTTGGTTTTGTAGGTTGGCTTGATTTGTGAGCGAATGCTCAAAGAACAAGAAACACAAATTCGAGAAGAGTACGATCAGATCTTACATATAAAGCTCTCCGAACAGTATGACGCTTTTGTTAAATTCACATATGATCAGATACAAAAGAGATTCGAGTCTGCAGCCGCACCAAGCTGTAAGTTATTTATAAAAATATCATTTGTATAGGTATGTTTTTCATTTTGTATTTATCATATCTCGCAATATTTTAATTTTTAGATCTATCATAAAAAAAGGATTCTTATTTATAAGGAGACTTATGTGAGGAAAATATTAGGTAAGTTTTGTAAATATAATTTTTTTTTTAAAGGAAAATAAAAAAAATGTTGAATTAATCAGATATTATACAAGCGAGAGATGCATTTCAAATTTTTTAAATATTATTTTGTATTGCATATTATAGATTTCTACTGTGAGACAAATTTGCTTGTGTCGAGGTTCACAGCGCCGCCTCGCTCAAAACCATCACCAAAAGAATAACACATGGCATGGTTTGAACAGCAAAATGTGGAGTAAGAAGAAAACAAAGGACTAAAATAAGGAAGAAAAAAATAACGATTAGCAGCGTAAGTTTGTAGAAAAGAAAAGATTTGCGGCGAACTGCAAACATACTACGAAAATTTATCATGTATACCTTCGAAACTAACAATATTTGTACTGTTCGACATTAGAAGTGCGCTGGTATCAGGGAACTGATTCTACTTATGTACAAATGTTATTACAGTTAAAAGTACGATATATGTACACAGTGCAAGACTATAGTATGAGACTTGATATCCAGCTGAGAGAGAGAGAGCGAGAGAGAGCTGAGAAATTTTCCTCCTAGCTTGTTACATGGATATATTTTCTTCTTAACTCCTTTGAGACATTATAAAATACAGATGGAAATTTTAGAAATTACGTACATTTTGAGATAGAATATTATGTCGAATGTCAAACAAGGTATATACCAAAATTTTCCTTTGTTTTGGCGCTGCGGCAGTTTAGATATTGCTCAAGTATATATACGATAACTAATGATCGGATTATCTTAGCGCAAATGTTGTATAACATGCATTTTGCAAATTTTGAGGCAGGAAATAATAATTACGTATATGTTAAAAAAAAAAAAAAAAAAGATTGCCTTTTTCGACTTGCTCTGCGAGGAGCAAAACGTTTAGAATTCAATGTATAATTGCGTAAATTAAGGAATTTAAATAATTTTATGAATTATTTGTAATTAAAATTTACAAAAGATATATTAATATGTTACATAATATAACTTATTTCGACTAATTTGCAGTGAGTTCTAATTCTATGGGTTTTTGTTTGGCTGGAAACTTCGCTAATCAATATAAGCATAAAGTTAATTACGAAATTGAATATTTTACTGAGATGTTATTTTTGTTGCAGTTACAATTTTTATTTCATCTTTTGTTGGAAAATTTGTTGTAAAAAGAAAAACAGACGATCTCATTTAAAATATAAAGTTATGAGAGCTGTAAAAGTGTCGAGATAATACTGTAGATTATAGTAGGCATTGTACGAAGGCATTGTGAAGTATAAGTATTTGGAATAAAGATTTCATAAAATCTCGTCAGCATTTCTGTTCCCTGGTAGCAACGAATTTCTGTAGTTGTAATAAAAAGTGCTGAATATAATTATATACCATACTCTTTAACTGTGCCTATTATTAGAAATGTTTATCACGATTACTATTATTACTAGTATATTATTATTTACTGTTATCGTCGTCGTAAAAAATTTTTTTTTTCTAGTTTATAGCGATTTTTATTACGTTGTAATGCGTTCTTCGCGCGATGTTTTTTCTTTTTTTTTTTTACTGCAGTAAGATGGGGGTCTTGCGATTTCTTGGTGGTTGCGTGCATTTTTTACTTCTCCAGCGTTCGAAAATCTTCGTTTCGCAGAGAATAAGGAAAAAAAGCATTTAGAGCACAAAGGGGAACTTCTGTCAAGAATACTCGTAAGCACAATGTAAAATTGTCTTCGATTGACCATATTCGATGGTCAATGAAGCGATATGTCGTATGAATTCGAGGGGCATTCGAATTACTACTGCCTTTTTCATATTGCGCAAAAGAAAAGAAAGAAAGTGTCTCTCAGTTACCAAAATATTTTTGGGAGCATCGCACGTCGATGGTGTTCACGCCCACACACATGTATACACAGCGACACAAAAAAAAAATTATATATAATATATGTTACGTCGAGTCTGTCTATCGACTACTGAATGTGAAAAAAAGGAAAAAGAAATCACAAAGAAATATAAGCGGGTTTAATTGTTAATTCTAAGTAATAAGACCTACTCGCGATATGTATCATTAAGGAACGTGGCAACATGCATGAGCGATCGTTCGAAAATTCAGGGGATTTCGTTTCGAATACAAGAAATACCTCCGTATTATATTGTAAACATCTCTATTATCGAAATAAAGATAAACTTAAGACTGAACGAAAAGTATATCTTTATTTGTTCCGACTAAAGAAAATTGTGTAACTGCTCTTCAACAATTGTTGCTAACGACTCACTTTATGGTTGCAAGCTTTTGCATGAGGACATTGCTTTTTGCAAAAAGATATACTTTGCACCAAATGTTAAATTGCAACATTACTAGTGAAAGGTTCCCGATTGAATGTTCTTGATTTACTGAATGCAATGAGCAAAAATACATATAACGGCTCTCTTGCGTCATAATCACAATCCTGTTAAATTAGTTCTGTAACGAAGTAATCGCATTAATAGTATGGCTTCAAGATGCGAGAAGCCCCAGTGAGACTATATGAAGATCGGGCCCCTGTGCTGGAAACGTGTCACTTCTGGGCGGGAAACAAATTTCTCTGCTAAATCACACAGCAAAAAATATATATATATACAGTGCCAGATGTTCCCTCTATTGTTTTTGGCCTACGTTGTAGCCGTTAAGGTATTCAAGAAGACCACCCCAAATGGTGAGTTTACTTAACTATCAATTATTCCTCATGTTTCATCTTCCTGAGCGCATTACATCTCCTAATATCACGTTAAAATACTTAGGCAAAGTTACGGTATATCTGGGCAAGAGAGACTACATCGACCACTTAGATCACACTGATCCCATCGACGGCGTTGTCGTCGTAGAAAATGACTACCTTCAAGGTCGCAAGGTCTTTGGTCAGGTGAGAAACATGCTTCCTCGATTACGTTCTTTGATAATAAAAAGTGCCCAGAATTTTCAATAAATAATGATATGTTTTTGTGTCGCATTTAGGTCACGACAACCTACCGCTATGGTCGCGAGGAGGACGAAGTTATGGGAGTCAAGTTCAGCAAAGAGCTGGTATTATGTCGTGATCAGTTAATACCAGTGAAAAAGGAGAAGCAGGAGACCACGTCGATTCAGGAGCGCTTGCTGAGGCGCCTGGGTGCGAATGCGTATCCGTTCACCTTCCACTTTCCGCAGACAGCTCCGTGCTCCGTCACTCTCCAGCCTGGCGATGACGATCAGGGAAAACCACTGGGAGTCGATTACACCGTGAAGATATTCGTTGGGGACAATGAAGAGGACAAGGTACTGAAATAGAAAAAAAATTATCAAAAAATGTGCAAAATTTTAAAGCAGAATTTCTGCAAAAGTGCTCACCTTTTTTTTCGTTATCAGGGACACAAAAGGTCCTCTGTAGCACTGGCCATCAAGAAACTGCAATATGCTCCGCCGACGCGAGGTCGCCGACTTCCCAGCTCTTTGATTTCCAAGGGATTCACCTTCTCCCAAGGCAAATTGAGCCTGGAAGTTACATTGGATAAGGAGATCTACTATCACGGCGAGAAGGTCACAGCAAATCTTACAATTACGAACAATTCGCGAAAGGCAGTGAAAAACATTAAGGTATATCTGAAAAAATTCAGTTAAAAAATGAATTACCGCATTTCACCTACTATCATTGTTATATCTTCTTCGCAGTTGTTTGTAGTCCAGCACTGCGAGGTGACTATGGTGAACGCGCAATTTTCGCGACACGTGGCTAGCTTGGAGACTCGCGAGGGTTGCCCGATCACACCGGGAGCGTCCTTTACGAAACAATTTTATCTTGTGCCTTTGGCCAGCAGCAATAAAGATCGTCGTGGCATCGCTCTCGATGGACATCTCAAAGTACGTAAAACAATAAGTTCAAGCAGATTTTAAATGCTCCGTAATTTTTGCATTCCATTTCAGGCTCTTCGCAAAAATGTTATGTTAAAATATAAAAAAGGACAGTATTATATAACACTCTTGCTTAATGATATATTTAAAATATTACAATAATAATATGATTTTGTCCTAAAAAAAATGGAAGCCACATAAGTAATATTTGTGAAAATTCACTTTGATTCTTTCAGGATGATGATGTAAATCTGGCATCTTCAACTTTAGTCGCCGAGGGCAAGTGCCCAGCTGAAGCTTTGGGTATCGTGATCTCTTACTCTGTTCGAGCCAAGTTGAACTGCGGTACCCTGGGTGGCGAGCTGGTCACCGATGTTCCATTCAAACTGATGCATCCTACCCCTGGTATGTTGCTTACAATATATCTATGCGTGTAACTATTTGCATGTAAACATATAAACGTTATTTTATTTATATAGAAAATGTCATTTTTAATTCTTAATTTAGGTAGAACAATTTTAATATTCAACTTAGATTTGTTCAAGCATTTGTCTTTTGTGCAGGCGCTATTGAGAAAGAAAAGGCTATACTTAAGAAGAGCAAGAGCACTGACAGGGCACGATACGAGAACTCTTGCTACGCCAACGACGATGATGATAACATCGTATTCGAAGATTTCGCTCGTTTGCGCTTGAATGAAACGGAGTAAACCGAAGGTCGCTTCTAACTAGCGACCGATTATTTCAAAAGAATCCTGAGCTTTCTGCTCGTAGTGGATTATTTCTCACGTTCGCAATTGAATTTTTAAGTGTTAAAATTAAACAATAAATTATTACAAGTTGTATAAATATATAAAAACTTAAAATTAAATTATTTTACATAATTTATTTAAAAATGTTTTAGTGGATTCTTTTGATGTGGTTTTTAGCGAACGAGTTGTATTAAGAAAGCGTAGGTAAAAAACATTTTTAAGATTAACAATATATTACGAAACTGCTACCGAGAAAAAAAAATAACGAAAAACTACAAAAAAAACGAAAAGATAATAACTAAATAATAAAATGCGTCTCGAAATTTCTGTACGATGGTGGTGATCGAACAGAAATTTACAGCGAGACGAATAAAAAAAGAAAGATATCAAGTAAGCTTAATAAATAATTGATGTTTCGTTAAGTTTGAAAATCCCGTCTTACCAGAAGTGACATGGTATATTATTTGTCCTAATTAATTTCCTATGTTTTACCGTATTTCACATTCAACTGTTTATTTATTATTCAAGAATTGATTAACGGTACTGTTCAGTTGCAGTTACATTAGAAAATACATATAAAACTGTAAAAATGCACTTTTGTCTTTTCTCTTTTCAAATCGGTTAACCCTTTGGCATACACACCTTTAAATGTAAAAAATACTGATCCGTCAGGACTGCTGCATCGTTGCAAAAGGATCATCACTTCACCATTCTTAAAAATTATATATTTTGTCTTCATGCAGAATATTACAGAGAACGATACCGAAGTGGATTTCAGTCTTATGCGGAACATTATGAAGATGATGATAGTTGTTCTTTATCTAGTCATACATATGTGAGTAATATTCCTGATACGTTTGGATGTAAGCTTCTTTTTCTATGGGCGTCATTTCCGCGATCAAGGTATCATTAACGTCAGTGATCGCAACAGTCTTACCGTTAACACTGACGGTAGGTATGAGTTCGTCATCCTCGGAATCCGCCGCGTCTATCTCACCTGCAAATTAGCAATTACAAGAACCAACGAAAAATTATGCTTTGGCAAGTTTGAGTTCTTAACAGAGATAGAATTAAAGCAGAAAAAAATTCTTCCAAATTCGATGTAATACCTGTGGCAATTAAAACCTGTTTAAAAAATGCTTTTTTTGTTTCATACGCATTCAAATAATTAAATTTGGACCGATTATATAGATAAAGATTATATAGTTTTATAGATATATCATTATTTCTTGCTAGTTTTGAGAATTTTTTCTTTCACGTTACTCATTGAATGGCCAGCTATCCTAATGTCAGATCTGTTTAAAAAAATTTTTCATACCGGTGTCAATAGCTTGCATTTCCATTTCTTCCTCATTGTCGCTGCTGTCACTAGATTCCTGTGGAAGCACTGCTTTGATGGATGTGGTAGAATTGGTGCCACCTTTCTTTTCATGAGCCAGCAATACCGACATGATATCTTCGCCCTGTTTATTATTTGTCGTGGATGTATTTGTAGCAGTGGCTGCAGCTTTATCCAAGATACTTTCTTGTGTGTTCACGTCAGGCTGCGTGAGATAGTTCCACGAATTAAGAAACGAAAAATAATTTATAAAAGAGGTGTAAAGGATCCACGAAAGAAATATAAAATGATAGTAAGTATACCTGTGAACCATCAGCATTGTGGACTGTACTTTCTATCATCCATATAGGTCTTTCCTTTCTATGATTCGCTATATTGTCATCAGGAGATTCATCTCCAATAGTAACATCCACTCTGGTATCCTCGACCATAAAGCCCGACATTCTAGTAGCTTCACCCGACCATTGTTCACTAGGTGCTCTAAGACTGCTTGGTTTTCTCGTGTCGATGCTATTAAAAATAATAATTGTAGCAAACTGAAAATTTTTAATACATACATAAGATTTTTGAAAACACTTACCCTCGAATAATATTAATATCAACGGGTTCCGGTTCCAATATTTCAGGCGCCAATTTGATTCCTTCTACTTCTCTTAATAGTATATAAAGTGGCTCCAATTGCTCATTGAACTTTGCTAATAACAATCTGGAATCCTTTTTTGGAAGAGCAGATTGATCCTCTTCCACTATCTCTCGACAATGTGTACATCTGAATTCACTGGTTCTCATGTCAAAAAGCTGATCCGCCTGCACAAATGTTTAACAAAATGTCGTCTGTTTAAGGATTATTAATTTTAGTGCTATGTATTATAACAATGTAATAATAATAAATTGTACTAATTTAATTAATCTATCGTATCATTATCATTGTAATGTAAAATATTAATAGTAAAACAAAATTTTGATCTGTCTAATTCTTCAAATTTTCTTATTTACATTACATTGTCGTACTTACTTCAAGATCAGTGAATGTTTTTAGACAGCATGGACATTTAAAACTAGCTCTACTAGTTGCATCTCTTTCTTCAGTTTCCATTCTCTTTCTCATTAAATCAAGTTTGTACTTTACCACATTAACAAAAGTCTATAATAAAGAAATACGTTTTAATTAAATGATTTCTTGTTCGTTCTTATCAGATAATACAGAATCAGAGAAAATCATAATATACATACTTTGTAATTGATGAAGTAATAGTTGACCTTTTGTGCTTTACCATCTGACCCTGTTTCCATTTTAATCTTACTTGTATAAATTTATCATTTTTTAACGTTGATATCCTGGCTCTTAACATTTTGCGTTCAAACTTTAGTAATTCACAAATGTCATCTTCTTTCATACCTATACATATGCACAGCATGCTTTACATTAACAGTATCACTTTAATTAAAGAATTCTGAGGATTCGTATATAATTACTCACATGGATTCCTAACCAACATATCCACAATTAAAGCATCCTCTATTGTGTAAAATCCACGTACAACAAGACGTGCCAGTTGTTTCAAGCTACTAGGCACCTCGGTAACAAGCCTTTCCTCAGCACTCATGTTTTACGATTTAAACTTTCTGACAATTGGTCATTCCATGATAGTAATAATTAGATAAATAACTCTATTATTGTATTAATTCACATATAAATTGTATGTTTGTTTTTTTTTTTTTTAAGGTTATCCTCTAGATAGAGGAATATTGCCACTTTGATTATGGTGTGCCTTCAACTCTTCCTTAGAGTTTTATAGCACAAAATGTTAAATTGTATGAGTCTTTATCTGTCTTCTAAACATTAAAAATACGCATGTTAAATAAATATTTTATAATAAACTATCAATTATAGAACATTGAAAAAAATATTACCTTGAATACGCCAGTATAAATACCGCACTATTTATTCTTATGACAATTAAAATATTTGTTTTTCTTTGTTTGATTATTATATCTGTCCTAAGTGAATCTCGCCACGCGTTTATTTAATAATTCTTAATTGTTAATAATTATTAGAACTAGAAAATAATAAGAGCACAATCTGTTGTTACAAACATATTTATTACTGCGATTGATTTTAGGTTAGAAAAATGATGTGCAACCAATATTGCCAAACATGCATATTCTGGGCTCACACGCATCAACGGAGAATCACGTCCGTGTGCGCCACGGCTTAAGTCTGGTATTACATTCATACGACAAAAAGTTTCTCGGACGTATCGATTGGTTGTTGGATAGAGAGTTTCTAAAATCCTAATAAAAACTCTATATATTCACCATCCAACAACCAATCGATACGTCCGACAAACTTTTTGTCGTATGAATGTAATACTAGCCTTAGTCCGTGGTCCTACCGGCCTTCCCTAACCAAAAGATAAATTTTAGGTCTCCAACATGACACAAATTGTTAGATGACTATCTGTCAAATATAAACATTTTCACAAGTGTAATTTATAAGCACATGTAATTTAATTAGATTTATTAATGGCAGCGATTGATAAAGTTAAAATTATCGTTGTAGGCGATTCAGGTAACTATAAAGAAAGTTACACGTACTATATTTTTTTGTTAGTATTGATATGAATAAATAAAATAATTTTATATTTTCTAATGAAATTGAATAGAACTTGAGGTAATTATTACGATAAAAATGTTTTTTGTCATTTTATTATGTATAATAATGATAATTATTTAGATGTTTCAGACTCTTAGGTTATGTGTAATAGCGTTATGCAGATAATTGTTTTGCTGTGACTTGCATTACTTTTATAATAAAATGTATAATCTGAGTAATTATAATAATTTCTAGGTGTAGGTAAAACATCATTGACACACTTAATATGCCAACAACAACCTATCAGCAACCCTTCTTGGACAATAGGCTGTTCAATAGAAGTAAAGCTACATGAATACAAAGAAGGGACACCTAATCAAAGAAGATATTTCATTGAACTATGGGACATTGGTGGCAGTCAAAGTCACAAAAATACAAGATCTGTGTTTTACAATCCTACAAATGGTATGCATGTATTTTATAGCAATGAGATTCAATATTCAATATGTCCATACTTTTCAAAGTTCTATGTCTTTAAATACCTAATTATAATAGAATGTGACAGTGATTGCAAATATATGTCGTTTACAACTAGGTATAATATTAGTCCATGACTTAACAAATCGTAAATCACAACAGAATCTTCAGAAATGGCTGGAAGAAGTTTTAAGTAAGGATGGAACTTCCTCAAAGTCTAAATCATTCGAGGATTTTGATCCTGAGAAATTTGTGGGTTCAACACAGGTGATGAAGATCTAATCAATTACCAAATGCTGATACTATATTAATTTTTAATTTATAGAAATGCAAATGTATCAGGATGATATTTATTTTTAGATTCCTATCTTGGTCATTGGTACAAAACTCGATCTAATTTCGGAATCCAATTTTATAAAATCTAACGTACAACGACGTTCTGCAACAATTGCAGAAGAATGTGGTGCTGATGAAATATGTTTGGTAAATATGAATTAAATTAAATTAAAATAAAATAAAAAAAAGAAATTTACTGAACATTTATTTTCATAGGATTGCCGTCAAATAAGAGCTTTAGCAGCAGGCTCTAGTTCGTCTGTGAAGCTTAGCAGATTTTTTGACAAAGTTATTGAAAGACGTTACTACTCCTCCAGAGAAGCACTGAGTCCTGACAAGCGAAGGCCGCCACTGTACACTTCCTCACTCTATCCGAAGTTTTATCATAACGATTAAGTATATTCGATTTACATGTCTTAAGAAAGATATTTTTATCCAATTTCATACAGAATAATTATTCTGTAATGTAAAAAGCACTGCAGAATTGCGCGGATTAAGCATTGTAAGGCTCTTGATCTCGCATTTCTTATCCACATTCCTAATTTCCACGGAAATATTTTGTCGAGTGTGCTCAAATTGACTGTGAACGGCATAGAAAAAAATCTATTAGACTCATGATACTTTGTATGTATCTATTGTAAAGACATCGCATTGTATAATTTTATAATGTAATGTAATATAAATATGTAATTATTCAATATGAATACATTGTTATCAGATAGTATCAATAAAACTAATCTATGTAATTATCAATTGTTAAGAAAGATATGCAATACGTGTTATCTGTTTCTGTTAAATCAATATAATTTTTTAACAAAGTAAATTAAGATTGAAAGTAATTTCGTAATAAGATCATAATTTTTATCTAGTGGAAAATCGGGCGCGGTTTAGCTGACAATTGGTCAGACTGCGATTAGAGTTAGTCTAGTTATTTTGTAATCGCTTTTTTCGAACCTGCTTCCGTCATGTGCCGCGGCGCGCAGCGAACAAATCTTTCAAAAACCACGTCTTCCCGAATAGATGCGCAAGACGTCCGCACATATATTTTGGACTGACAGCTGCAACGGGGAAAGCGGGTCTTTCCCCTCTCTAACATGTTATTGTGAATCCGTTGTGAATCGCAACGAAGTCTTGTCATATCTGTCAAATCGAAGTGCATGTTTCCAGTTTTTGCGTGTGTGAGTGTTTAATTTAGAACATATGTACTCTGCCATTTTTATACATATGTAATCTCAAGGTTATCATACCTGTACTGTTAATAACACGACTATAATGACACTAATTATATCTGTATGAAGATTCTTGTTAATCAGTTCTTTATTTTTGCCCGACTTTTTATGATTACGTCATACATATGACGTTAAAATATAAAAGATATTTGCCTATTGTGCATATGATAGATGAATCATAGTTTTTAATAGATGATTTTTATTTTCAGGTAATATCTGCAATCATGACTTACTGTCTTGTAAAGAAATGCGTTAGCGCAAATTATCTTTCTTACATGTTGATACGTGTTCATCCTGTAATTTGCATTCAAAAATGTGGCTACGCTGATATAAACATAAATTTAAGCAATGGACCAATCAGTATTCTAAAACAGAAAATAGTGAAAGGTGATTTAATGAATGATGTGCACCAAATGAAAGTAGCACAGACTCTGCAGAGAATTTATCACGAAGTGCATGATTATAAGCCACAGCAGTTAAGTCTGTTGGAAAAATGGTTTGGTAGCAAGAGGAGGGAAGCTCCGAAAGGCTTGTACATTTATGGAGGAGTGGGTGGAGGTAAAACAATGTTGATGGACCTATTTTACAATTGTTGCCAGGTATCTCTCGGGTTGTTTATTTAAGTATTGTACATGGAAATCTAGATTAAACAAATTAAATTAAATACCTTAATCTTTTTTGACATAATAATACATATTTTTATAGTATAGAAACTATGAAATAATATAATAGTTATATGATAGAAGCAAAAAATATTGCAGAAAAATATAAGAATTTTTAGAAGATAAAAATTAAAACAATCGAATTAAAATAATCATACTAAAATAAATTGATTAGATTAAATAATTAGAATAAAGTAAATTAAAATATACCTTTCCATGTAAAGTACAGAACATAAACGAGATTTTCTTGTGACAATACAATGTACGTCCAAATAAAAATATTTTATTTTAGATTGAGAACAAAAAAAGAGTACATTTTCATTCCTTCATGTTGGATGTGCATAGTAAAGTGCACGAGGTAAAGAAAACTATTGTAAGAGATGCCAGTAGTACAAAGTTACAGCCTTTCGATCCGATACCTCCAGTTGCATCTAGTATCGCAGAAGAGACTTGGTTATTGTGCTTTGATGAATTTCAGGTTAATATTTGAATTCAAGAGAGGAGCAATTATAAAATGCAACAATAAAAGCATAAATATTGCAGGTTACTGATATAGCAGATGCCATGGTATTGAAGCGATTATTTACAGAGCTTTTTGATAATGGGGTGATAGTAGTTGCAACTAGTAATAGATCACCGGATGATTTGTACAAGAACGGACTGCAGAGAGGAAACTTTGTACCATTTATAAAAGTGCTGAAAGATCATTGTTCGATAAGTAATTTGGACTCCGGAATAGATTACAGATTAAAATCAGGACCTGGAAATAAGAAAATATACTTTATGTATGTAGAAATGGATAAGTTTTATAATAATCGCGTATATAATCAACGCTGTTTAACAAATTCTGTAAATTAAGAAAAGGCAAGGACGCGACAAACGATGTGGACAAAGTCTTCAAATATTTGTGTTCCATGGAGAATGATGTGATACGACCACGAACGATCTCTATAAGAGGACGAAACGTTACCTTTCGAAAAACTTGCGGGCAAGTACTGGACTCTACATTTGAAGAATTGTGTGATAGGGTGAGATTTTTTCTACAAAGAATTTATAATCAAACATAGATTGAAATTGTATATTATATAATTATTTATCTCTGCACAGCCTCTTGGAGCTAGTGATTATTTGAAACTGAGTCAAGTGTTTCATACAGTCATAATAAGAGATGTGCCACAGTTAAATCTACGGCTGAAGTCTCAAGCTAGGCGATTTATTACTTTTATTGATACATTATATGATAATAGGGTAAGAATAATGCTGTCTATTAAATTATGAACTGTTATATGCACTTGAAATATAAGCCCAAATCACATTTTCAAAATGTTTTTATTAATGAATCATTAAGTAGTAAATAATTTTTCATGCTTCAAATTTAAATTTTGAGTACTTAAAAATTACCTACACATTAAAGTAACTTCATTTATAATAAAATTTTTGTCCCAAGCAAATGTGTGATGCTGGCTGTTAACAGATTAATGCAAAGCTGAAGCAAATAATGAAAATTTATAATAAATTGTAGGTACGGGTGGTTATGTCGGCAGCTGTACCACATACGCAACTGTTCTTACCAGAAAGCGAGTCTGAATACAGTGATGAAAAAAGAATGCTGATGGATGATTTGAAGATTTCACATGGCTCGGTAAACATAAATTTAACAGACACTGAATTTTGTGTCCAGATTATGTTTTAATTACGATAATTTTATCTTCAGGAGGATCACAAATCAAACATTTTTACTGGAGAAGAAGAAATCTTTGCATTTGATCGCACTGTGTCACGTTTGGCTGAAATGCAGACCTCACAGTATTGGGAACAGTGGGAGCACCATAGATAATGGTAGTCTTAACTAGAGCAGCTAGATTTATGTAACTCTATATAAATCTATTTATTTAAGATAAAAGTATTAATGAGAGATGTAATTTTTATCTCACGATCTCAAAGGCAAAGTCACTTAAGTTTTTGTCAAGTATATGTAGTTTGTTCTATATAGTTTTCATGCCTTGTCAGTATTTTATTCCTTTTTGAATGATTTTTTAGGAATAAAATTTGAGATCTAACATTTAAGTGTAAAATTGTACAAATTAAAATGCAAATGTATGTTTTTGAAATATGTACATATGTAAAGTTTCAATAATATGAAATTTTGCACTTGACTTGCATGTTACTCACTCACTTTGCTACGTAGCATTGAAAACTACTGGTTTTACGCAACTTTTGTAGCTAAAAAAATTATCACAGTGATGTCATATATTTCAGGATCGACGATCGATCATATCAATATTCTTCAATTATCCACAGATCGATTGAGATCATAGTTCATTAAACAGACACGTCATATGTTTTATATATATTTTTCAAAAAAATTGTTAAATCTACACAATAAAAATATAAAATTAATTATTTCTTCTTTTAAAAGCTACGAACTATAAAAAAATGTACAGTATTAAAAAAAAGTTTACTTTAAGCGATTATTAATCTCTAACCCCATATCTATAATGTGACGAGCTGTGTATGTGCTCCAAGTGTACAGCTTCATATCTCGTACTTGTTATCTGTATCAGTTCAGTTATAGATATATATAACGTTTTATCAACACGACAAATAAGTTCGGTGGGGAATAGATCAATGTCATTCGCGAACATTTGGGGTTCACTTTTTTTTTATGTACACAGATATACTTAACGTTCACGTATTTACTTGAAAACTTACAATAATTATTTTGTGAATATTTGCGCTCTTCTCTGCAATTATGGCGACAAATAATCCTGGGATAACTTTTCAATTGTCTGATACAATTACAGGTAAAACAATACAATAATTTTGATATATTGTTTCATCTCTGTATCTCTACATGTTTTACCATATTTATATTTTATTTTACTCTTTAGCATGGATGAAATTCTTAGAAGTGTACATTAATGCACCAGCAGTGAGCAAAAGTGTGCGACAGATACAGTACTTGGCTAGCACAATAACAAACGATAATAAGATAGCTTGGTTATTAAGAGCAATAACTTTCACGGATTTGACTACTTTGAGTGGTGATGATACTAGTGGTCATGTGGAAAATCTATGTAAAAAGGTATATTAAAATGGTGATATTATTTCCTAAGGTAATTGTTTGATATTTAATTACAGGCTGCAAAACCCGTGAATCTGCCATTTGAATGGAGCTTACCACTTCACACAGCAGCAGTTTGCGTGTATCCATCCAAAGTGCAAAATGTAGTAAAGGCCTTAAAGAAACTGAATAAAACAAATGAGATTAAAGTTGCTAGTGGTAGGAAAAAAGTTTCTTTTTTAATCTGAAATGTAAATACAAGAGTATAGTCTTAATTATACTTCTTTTCTTTATTAGTGGCTGCTGGGTTTCCTTCTGGACAATATCCTTTAGAGTCTCGACTGAAAGAAGTGCAATGTGCTATAGAATATGGAGCACAGGAAATTGATATTGTGATTGATCGATCATTAGTCTTGGATCATGAATGGTTACAGTTATATGAAGAAATAAAAGCAATTCGTAACGTTTGTAATGCGACTGAAAAAAGAATATGTTTGAAAGTTATATTATCGACAGGAGAATTGTCTAATTATAAAGAAATATATCAGACATCTATGGTAGCTATGTTTGCTGGTGCTGATTTCATCAAGACATCCACAGGAAAAGAGACTGTCAATGCTACTTTGAATGCAGGTATTGTCATGTGTAGAGCAATAAAGGAATATGAAAGGCTGACTTGTACAAAGGTGATGTAAATTGGTGATCCTCATTGTAATCAAGCTCTACTTAATGCACCTTTTGCAATTTTACACTTTTATTTGTAGGTTGGTATTAAACCTGCGGGAGGCATTAAAACCGCGAGCGATGCTCTAGAATGGATGGTACTGGTCAAGGAAGAATTAGGAAATGAATGGTTGACGAAGGATTACTTTAGAATTGGTGCATCCAGTTTGCTTGACGATATTAAGAGGGAAATTGATGATTTATGTTTATCAGAGTGCTCAACTAGTCAAGAATGTCATAATTACGCTTTAGAAATCAAAAATGAAAAACCTGAAAAACCTGAAAAAACCAAAGGCAAATCCAAAAAAGATAAATCTAATAGCAAGCTCGAGAAACCTACATCTTGAAAAGTTAAGTTGTAACAGTAATTTTTATATAGTTTCATAAAGATAATCTTATACATAATTTTTATAATTTCTAAAATAATCTTTGTCTTAATAAAAATAAAGTTAATTCAATATTAAACTTAATCTAATTGGTGTTAAAACTAGACACTTCCACAATTCATTTTCCAATTGATACTGTTGTAAACGTCCCTATCAAATAATACAAGAATATTTTTAGAAAATTTTCCACAGAAATAATTAGCATTTCTTTATGAACTGTAAGGTAAAATTGTAAGATAAACTGCAAGTACATATATAAATATAGATGTAAATATACATAAATATATATATATATATATATATATGTATATTTCTGTGTTGTGTTAAATTAGCAATTCAATGCAACAGCAATTTAATAATAATTTAACTTATTCTCAAATTTAAAAATATCTCAGTTATATTAATATAAAATATGTTGAAATATATATATATACTTCAACATATTTTATATTAATATAACTGAGATATTTTTTAATATTTATGTATAACGAATATATATTATGTCTTATTATTATCGAAAATAAGTTAAATTATTATTAAATTGCTGTTGCATTGAATTGCTAATTTAACACAACACACGCCTCATGATTTTTTTGCGACTTAATCAATTATAAATTTCTTGTACTGTTTCGTGAAAAACACGAGCCGTGCAGGATACGTCAGAGCAGTCGATATTACGACGCCCATGTGTCTAAATATATCGATCAGTAAATAGAGAGAGATCCTACATAATCGACATACTAAGCATACATACACATAGTGTTGTCGTGGTACAAAAATACAAAAATCTGCCTCGAGTGTCTCTTTTAAATCATCTTAATTTCAATTATTTCATTACGTTTCAATAAACGTCGCAATAATTGACACTAGGTAACAACTGGTAAAAGTCGTTGGAAAGTGCTTACAATTTCTTTCTAGAGAACTTATAATTGTAGTGTAGTTGTAAACGATTTCCATAGCAAGAATGCATAAAATAAAGATCAGCGCGGAACCAACTTCAAAGCCTCAGCGGAACCAACTTTAAAGCCTCATTATAATGTTCTGTAATCATTGATGATCGCTGAAAAATTCTAAATTTTGATATAAATATATAAATTTAAATTCTATAACAAAATTCTATGAATTTTATACCTCACACTACTATATTTTTATTATTTTATTAGTTATACTATACTTTTAGTCCAAAATATAATTTATTTTCAGTAACAGTGTATTAAGTGCTTTCATAATCAATAAGATATTTCCAATTATGAAATGTAAACTTCTTTACCCTTTAAAAAAAGCATTATTTTGCTCAAGAATTAATGAGCTTGCAAATTCGTTACTGTCGAGCGGAGGCGGCCGTTCGCCACCGGAAATCGAGGCTCAAATCCAATATAGATCGATCAGTAAATAGACCTCGAGCCGGCACGAGAACCGCGTCACCGGCTGCTCGTGCTCTGTAGTATTTGCAGCTTGCAAGCTCGTTGCATCTCGCCTCCTGGCAAAGCTTATCGTGACACCGTTTCGGCCGCATTACGCCGGGCAACGGCCGGGCTGGGCCCGTGCGTCCGTCCTTCCGTCATCAGCTTTATTTCGCTTTAGTCGTCGTCTCACCAATTCCAGCAGCCGTTCCGCGCGTTTCGGCCGCGAATTTGCAGCAGCGAACGCAGTGAGCCCCGCACCACGTGCAACCCTCTCCACGCCACGCGCTGCAGCTAATCAACCACCCACCCGACTCGCTTGGGAACTTATACTCTCGCTAAAGCTCGGCCCGCCGCTCGGCAAGTAATACACGATACTACCCAGACAAGACCCACCGGCCACCTCGTCACTATATATTCGGTTACCGCCACTTCCGGGTACATAGCGCGGATACGTAAGCCGACGAGACGCGGTTGAGAGCAAAGCGGAAGGAAGAGATCGCTGTATCGGAAATCATGTATGCGCAAATCTTTACTTATAAACTTGCGAAGAAGATTCGTCCAATGATTCATACTTATAAAAATCGAATTGTTACATGTATAAATTGAATCTTTTTTGTAAGACATATACATATTCAAGCAGTTGCGATTTATTTCGACCGCAGAAGGATCAGAAACCAATAAAATTTGAATTTTTTTGCTGTCGAAAACTATCTTGCGTTTATATATAATTCTAAAAATAAACGTGGACATGATTTTTCTCCGTCTGCAGCGTCGAAATTCGAGTTTATCAAAATTATAACAGTCGTAATTCTTTCACGAACCATCATCATTTATAAATACATTAATTTTATGAAAAAAAGTTAACATAAAAGCGGAGACTCTTTTTAAAGAATCGATGTATCATATTTGTAATTTAAGTTTTGTCTATTTTATATATATTTTTCGGTAGAGTTTGTTATAATAAAACTGATACTACAAATATTGTTGTTTATCTAATGGCAATAATTGTTGACGTCACAACTTGTATACTTGCCAATTCAAATTTATTTATCGTGTAAATGGTATTTATGATTTATGATTATAACTATTTTTAGACAGACATAGCTTGCTTTGGCACTTCGCGTAACACACTAAGAATCGTTGACCTCTCTTTCTAAATGCAGCTGTATATTTTTATCATTCGGAATAACATATTTACCTTTCTATTGCATTTGTAAACAACATGAAAATAACATTTGTAAAAGGCTCATATCTGATATTCGAGTTGTCGTGTTACGTTACCAAAATTTCCGAATCTTATATAATTATGCCCAACCAAAATATTTAACTACGTAGTTGAACTATTTAAATGCAATCAATTAGAATATTAATAAGGATATTTATAATAAATAAAAAATGTATTAAAAAATTAATGTAAAATCTAAAATCGTAAATCTAAAAAACAGTTGCGTATTTGCGAAGTGTCTAAAAAACAATTTGCGTATTTGCGTAAAAATGACAATTTGAGAAGTGTTTATGACGACTGATGTAATTAATCTCAATCAATTTCGGTTTAAGATATTGATTCAAAGGTAAGAGTTATTTAAATAAATATTACATCTGGTACTCACTGCGTTAGTTTTATAACCGGCCCGATTGTGTAATCAGCTGTAACCAAAATCCTGGAATGTAAAAAGAAAATTGTGTTTAGTACAATATAAATTTCATGGAAATTTTACTTTAATTGTAAAAGTGAGTCCATCAAACGTGACTTTGCACATAATTTCAGATGTAGAACGTCATGGCAATCAGCATAAAATTTACAAAATTCGACAATACACCATGGGGCTTTCGACTAGCAGGTGGCAGCGATTTTCCGCAGCCGCTAACTGTTATCAGAGTAAGTTTCATATTTTTTTATCTAGAATTGTCAGCAAGTGTAGGCTATCACATTTTCGTAAGAATCAGGATGCAAAATGTGGAATGATTTACAGGTCACGGAGGGCAGTCTGGCCGAGTGCATGGGTTTAAAAATCGGTGATGTCATAGTAAGATTAAACGATCAGCCTATTAGCAGTTTGACACACGGGCAAGCGCACGAAGAGCTAATGCATGCTGGCAATAACTTCATTCTAGCTATACAAAGGTAAAAGATCGATTATTCATCTGTTATAACCGACGAAACTTCTCTCTAGCCGAAAAGTGCGGAAGTAAAAACTGCCGAATGGCAAATTCTTTCGATCGTTTTACACCTGTACATCGGATTTAATTTCAAAGCGCAATAGTCGAAAGCTGTAATGAAATTTAATGATTCTCCAAGGATTTTATGCCTAACGAAGCGCGTCAGGCGGCGCGCGTCATTCACCGCAGGCATACTCTCGATAATAACTCGACGACGGCAAGAATATCCCGGCGTATGAGCTACGTATGTGGCAATGCATTGCGACACCTATAAATAGGTGACCCAGAATGAGAGATCTGTTTATCATTGGTCGGCGATTTTATCGCTGGTCCCTCGTCGCGCCCCGTTTCTTGCCGTTTGTCGCATTTGCGGGATCCGCCGCGTAGAGAGCGAGAGAGTAAATCAACACCGAAATCCGCCCGCGGTGCATTCGGTGCATATTCGCGTCCGCGCGCGTATAATTCGCGAGCGCACAATTTCAGCCGGTCGCTCCCGGCGCGTCCACCGCGAACGGGAGAAAGTCTATTTTCTTGATCTGCTGTATTTGTTGCTTGCGCAGAGAGGAGGAGACACGAAAGGCTGCCGAGGCGATATCGGAAGAGAACATCGTCCCATATAAGATCGCCGTAAGTATATCCGTGAGATGAAAGATGAACAGCATCCCTGCTTCCTCTTAACTGGTGACGAGAGAGCTACGCTGCTCTTCGGTGTCCCGTCGTTATTTCCTTCCTGGCATTCGGCTCTTTTCCGTGGACTTTCTCAAGTTCTTGAAAATATGTTTCTGAAAAATTGTTTCCTTTCCTCTCGAATATAAAGAAATACAAAAAAAAAAACATTATTAAATATTTGCGTCACCAAATAAGAGTCGATTAAACCATCGCAATTTATTTTTCTGCTCATTTTGAGAAATAAAGAAGTACTTAAAATATTCATTTTTATATATAAAATGTATTGAGATGTTTCTATAAAGAATTTTACATCACATTAGAATTATTAAACATTACGGTATTTAGAACATATTTAAACATACTTGATTCAAATGCAATAGCAGGATCTAGATTTTTGTTCTCCGTGATTAAAAATAAATTGCGATTAAAGACCTTTTCACCGAAAATTAAACATCTCGCTTTCGTCGGGGAAAATCTTTGATCTTGAATTCACTCGACATTTAGTTATGGTGTACTAGAGAAAGCGGCGGCGAGATGATGACGTTGAAGTTAGTTATTAGCTTGCAGATCTACCACCAGTCTTCCCAGAAGAGATCTTGAAGGAGGAGACAGTGATCGAGCGGTACGAGGAAGAGAAGACCGTTGACGAGCATACAGCGCCGTTGTCCGCCGAAGAAGAGCTCAGGCGAGAGGAGGAGAAGCTCGCGGAAGAGAAACCGGTGGACGCTAACAGCGAGATCGTGCCCAACAAAAATCTCACGGATGACGAGATCGCGCAGCTGATTCTCGAGGAGGAGGAACTCTTGTCCGACCAGGGATTATTGGGGTACATTTGCACGACCGTCGAATCGATCGACAGTGACGGCGCGATTTAAGGATTATCAGTATTTTTTTTTCTATTTTTTTAAAGAGTACAAACAAGATTTTCCAACAATTAATTGAGCGTCTTGAATTTTCAAGTATCTTAAAAAGTCCCAGAAAATATAATTTATTAAAAATTGAAAATTCTTTTACTCTTTGCATATAATTTGCAGCTCAAATTTAACAGCTAAAATAAATTTCAAAAATATGTGCAATTTTATATATTCCGTTCTAATTTTTTGTGCTACATTTTTTTATGCTAATTGTAAATATAGATAATCCTCTCCTGCCGTTCTTTCCATCATAATTCAAAAATAATAATAACTCTTCGATTGACAGAGTGAACTTCAAAAAGCTGCGACCGCGAGCTCCGATCTTGAAAGATTCGAAGGTCTTGGAGGAGCTGCAGAACATCGCGACAGCCGAGCCCGAGCGGGTGCAGGAGTTAAAGCGCACATCCACCTTCCTGCAGAAGCCGCAGCGACCGGTGCCGAAGTTGAAGTGCGAGCAGAAGGTCGAAGAAGACGACTGCGAGACGTACAAGGTCGTGATTAAGAAGCAGGACAAGAAGACGGTGATCGCGCGCCTCGTAGAGAAAGGTTTGCTGCCGCCAGGATCGGAGGCGACCCTCGCCAGGACACCGGAACCGCCGGAGTTATCCGAGGTAAAGATGCATGAAACGGAGAACAGCCTCGAGGCAGATCGTTCCCCCGTCGTGTCCGACCTAAATTCCTCGTGTTCGACCATCCCCCTTCATAGTGCCGATGACTTACCCCCGTCGGAGTTCGATTCGAACGGGATTCACCCCGCCGAGGATCAATCGATGCGTTGCGCAACGACGTACAAATGCAAGCCGAAGCTCAAACCGGGTCATTATCAAAGGTGCAGTTCCGCTGGCAAGTATAACGAGGTCAGAGCTAGACTGCCTATTAAAGGCCACTACCTGGAGAACGTCCTTCGCGGCTACGCTCGCTCCTGCATTGCCCGCGATCGACAAATCGACGATCAGTTCGATGAGTTCGCGATGAGTCAGTCGGGAAGCGCTCACTTCAAGAAGCACGGTTTACCAAGCGGAATCACCACGAAAAGAACGAGCAGATGCGCGCGAGCGCACTACGTGGAGAGGATTCTCCTTCGGAACGTCAGCGCCGTCGCTCGTCAGCTGCGTTTAAAGTCGAAGACGACTCGCGTCGTTGCCTCTAGAACGAAGCGCGCCAGGACAAAGGGGAGATATTTGGCAACGTATCTGAGACGCGAGAGCACCCGGCTGATGTCCTTGATGACGACATTGTTCCAGTTTTTGCTGCAGAGACCAGATGTTCCCGAGTCGGCGAATATGCTGGAGGCACGCAAGAGACGTATGAGTTTCAAGGGCCGTTATCTCGAGCAAGTTCTCCAGAAGAATGTCACTCCTGTTCTCCAATGCGTCAAGGAGACGTGCCTTGTCAATGATGAGAAGACGATCGGAGAGAGGAAGAACGGGCCGAAATCCACGAGGACGAAGGGACGTTACATGGAGAAATATCTGTATAAACAGAACCTTCGTCTGAGATTCGCGCTGACGAATCTTCTCGATCACGCGAAGAGCAGTCTCGATAATCTCCTCGTCGTCGCCACGTCGTCGAAGGCGAAGCGTGCAATGAGAGGTCGATACTTCGAGCGGGTTGTTCGCAGAAATCTCGAGATCCTCGAGCTGTTCGTAGAATACGTTCGCTCCGGGATCTCCAAATGGCTCAAAGAGAATCCATCGTGCACATCGCGAACGGAATTTCCCATCATCGCTGTCAGTGCTTCTGATCTCATTGCCGATAATGCAGTTCTAAATAAGCAGAAGAATGATGAAGAGTTTTACGATGCAATCATCTCCGACTGGTATGAAGACAGTCCATCGTGCCCATTGCAAAAAGAGTCTCCTGTCATAGCTAACGCCGAGAATTTAATCTCGAACGAAGAAGAAACTGACGAAAATGATAGTAATGTTGCCAAATGTACAGACAATTCAGTTTTATCTGAAGAAGCCGATAAGATCTCCAACTCATCTAAACCCACAGACACGATTCTGGAGGAAGAAGACAATTTCTCGAAATTTTTACAGTCGACTGAGAATTACATTTCCGCTGAGGTTTTCCATCGCGGCAGCAGAAGGCTCTCAAAATCGCGCAAATCCATAGATATCCTTCCCAAAGAAGACGATGACGGTTTTTCGAAATTTCTGCAATCTGCTGAGGATTATGTATCAACCGAGGTTTTCCATCGCGGCAGCAGAAGACTCTCAAAATCGCGCAAATCCATCGATATCCTTCCCAAAGAAGACGATGGCGATTTTTCGAAATTTCTGCAATCTGCTGAGGATTACGTGTCCGCCGAGGTTTTCCATCGCGGTAGCAGAAGGCTTTCAAAATCGTACAAAGACGCGGGGCAGGAACAGGGTGCTCTGTCGAATATCCTTCGCTCGACCGGCGATTACGTTTCCAGCGAGATATTCCATCGCAAAAGCAGAAGATTGTCAATATCATCCAGAAAGGAATCAGTCTCCCTCGTGACTCCCACCTCGGGGAAGAGCATGTATTTCAATTTACCTTGGTTTTCGTTCAAAGTCAGTGAGAATAGCACGGAATACAGCGGAGGCTGCGAAGAGAAGATCGATTCCGAGATCGAACGCGACAGTCGGCGATTATCGTTCGTGCCGACGATTCTCTATCAAGGTGTCACGAATTGCATCGGCGTCGATTTCACGAGGCTGGTGGCTTACGCGTTTGTACCTTGCACGTCGATCATCCTTCTATACATGTACAAATAAATCATTTCTTGAGGATCATCTGATGACATTATTTACTTGTTCGATTTTATTTCGGTGCAAACCGACTAATATTAAATTAGATAATTATACAATAATTTAAAAGTCAGTTTAAAGCCGCTTTAGAATTTTCAAAAATAAAATATTAATTAAAATCGTTATAATTACATATATATATATATATTATTATGATTGTATTTAGATTAAAATAGGTGCCATTTGTTCAATTTTAATTAACCCAATAGATTACACGTTTGTATTTGTTCTGGAAATTTTCACAGATATTAGATTGTGTAAAGCATTACAGGTGCGCGCGCTTGAAAGTAAAATTTTTTAAATAATGTGTGTGTGATCGGATTTTATTTTATTGTAGCCGTAATACACATCGAAGTGATTTCATTGTAAAGTAAATAATTGTAAAGAGTTTTATGTAAAGATCAATCCGATACGCGAGTAAAGATGTAATTAACGTTTTCCTTACTCGATCCCTTAATTATGTGAAATGTTCTAAGTGATTAAACTATTAAAACTAGTTATCTGCACTTTGAATTTTCGTACACATTAACTCTCGTTTTCCATAAGAATAATACAACAAAAAGCTCAAAACTGTGTATGTATTAATGTTATTTATTGATATCTTAGTTTTTTTTTAAATATTTAATTCTCGTTTGAAATGTAAAATTTGATTAATCAAAAAGGTAAGTATAAACTCAATTATTATTTATCAATACTGACTTATTCTTTTCAATTTTTTTCATTTTTCTCAGTTTTTTAAACTTAAATAAATTAGCTTCTGTATACTTTACGCTTTGTTTTGCAAGAAACAATCGTTTTTTGTTGCTAAAGTAAAAATCCATAATACACCTAAATTAAATAGATGTCCTAAAGATACTCGATCTTAGAAATACTGAATTGTTTTATAGATGCTTGAAAAATATTTAAAAATTATTTGTTAAAATTAGAACATCTCGCAGATGTTTATATTTCTCCAGACATTTGTCCGGCACATTCCTACAACTTTCATCTTTTTGCAATTTAGACAATAACTCCAGTCGTGACATCAGAGCCTACATGCAGATCGAACCAAGAAAAGTCTAATTCACGTCCCGCGTCAAAGACAGAAAGAGAAGAAAAGAGTGACGAGATCGACAAGGTCAAAACAGAAGAAAGACCCGAGTCCAAAGAGGAGGATCATCGTCCTGAGTCTCGCGCGGCAGAATCCACACCGAACGAGACAACAACAATCGAAGAGGATTCGAGCGTCTCGACGACGGATCTGACGGCGATAAAAGCTAATAGTGAAAAGATCAAGGAGCTGGTGTCCACGGAGTTCAATCTCGAACAGCAGCTGGAAAACGTGCAGCGACAATTGCTCGCGCTAAAGCAGCTACCGAACGAGATCGAGAATCACCTGAGAATCGTGTCCGAGCAACTGCACAAGATCATGGAGCTGAGCGGCGTGCAGCGGTCCGCTGGCAACGGAAACGGCGGCCGCCGCGGGTCGTCAGGTGACCGAGATTCGTGGTCGTAATTGAAATAGCCGGACCTTGACGATTACTCCCTAGGCATATTTTCGAGTTTCGTCGCTATGCGACTTCGATTCTGAACGGGTGCCAGTTCGCGCGAGGTTAAATTTGTCGGTCGTAATCGATGAACGGAATTCATCACGAGATTGAAATTTCTCTGTCAGAAAATATGACGGATCAACAGTTTAATATTAGCTTGGAAGCTGTCCAATTATTTGCGTCTTCCATTGAACCGGGAGAGGATTTCGTTGAATTAATCTTGTTGTTTTAGTAAATTAAAACTGCGATGAGAGTTAGAGTATTACATTGAAAAGAATATTTGAATACTTTTATAATCATTAATTCATTCTCTATTCGTGTTGAATTTAGATTTTTTTACATTTTACTGTTTATATTTAAAACCTGTATTCTTTTTTTTTTGCAAATAACGCAGTTCTGACTAATTGTTATTCAGAAGAGGATGCCGCGCTGCGGGACGAGGAGGATCCGAAAGAGCAGGAAGAGGACACCGAAGAGGACGAGGAATTTACGGAGACTTACGATTACATCGAGGAGATTGCGTGCTTGGAACGAAAGACGTCAACGAGGTCAACCCCGCAAGCAATTGAGCCTAGCGATGACGAAGGAGAAATGGAGGAAGAGGAAGCAGAGACGAAGGAACTCGACGGTACGATTTCCGTGAAGAGCGCGGACGAGGAAGGAAGTAGAGTGAAGAAGTTTATCGTCTCTTACGAGACCAAGGTGTTGAAATCGCCCAGTCCGGCACCGTCGCATGGTAACTATCGATTTTATATCTGAATCTATTGATCTTAAATTTTTCTCGTATTGCAAAAACAATTGAATTATATTAATTATATATTCGGCACAATTCAATAATAATTATTTTATGATATCAACATAATATCACGCACTACTAAATCGAAATATTACATTACATGTTTTCCATTTCACGTTTGAATTAAATATAAAGTAATGTTATAAAATACAATAATACTATTATAGGAAGTTTCGAACCAGATCCTAAACTGTCACCAAAAGATCAAGTTATACAGGAACTACAGGTATCCCCCGATAAATGGAATGACTCGTCTTATGTTCTAATGTGAAATGATTATTGTCTTGTTTTCCCCTTTGTCTGTTATTCATCTCTAAAAATTACAAAAGTTATAATCAGATTATATATATCGAGTTTTTTAGCCCTAAAAAAGTCTTGTTCACATATCTATAAAATTTTTTATTCGTATTGAAAGTTATATATATCCAATTTGACTTACGATAATTACGTTCGTTACGCATCCTTCTTATTTCGTTAATGTTACTCCTTTAAATAAAAATCAATGCTCGAATCGAATGTTAATAGATGAAACCAATCCTGTTTCAAGATTCTTAATTACTGAAATTAATTCTATAAACTGATTGTTTCCATTATTTTAAATTGTTTCCCATATTGATATCGAGAAAATTCATGTCTATCATGAATCTGTGAATTCCATAAATTGTACACAACTGAGATGCATGATAAAAAAAAAAAAAATAAGGTGCAAAATTGTTGATTCGTATTTTATCTTTCAGCAAAGGGTGCACAAGAGAGGCAGACAACATTCGCAGGACCTGTGGCCCCAGGCTAAGCAGCTTGAACTCACACAAGGCCGCAGATGGAGATGCCCGAATGACTTTTTTAATGACGAGATGATCGCAGAGGTATTGTCCTCCCAGGCTGAAGTCATTCGCGGCAAAGCGTTGGGGTAAGAATAATTACAATTTCAAGAGAAAAAGAGAAACAAGTTGATCATGCGATAGAAGGTGTAATAATTCTGAAAAGATACTCAGAGTTATTTCAATCTTGATAAGAAGATCTTTCAAATTGGTCGATTGTATAGAGTGAACTTCAAGAGATACGAGAAGACGAACCTTCCAAACTATGACTACCTAATGAATTCGAGCGTCTATAAGATGATTCATAAAATGGAGCGAGAACCGAAAAAGGGCATCCCGAGCAGACCCGCTAAAGTCAATGCAGCGGAAGACATAATCGAGAGAGTCGTAAGCCTCTCTTTGTAATCTTTCACGGTTGTCAATATAAATCGCTTGGACAGAATGGAGGTGATGATAATTAATCGTGGAATCGACAACTTAATGATTTGTTCTTAAGCACTGTCAATTGTTTAAGAAAACTTTTTAACAAAGTTGTTGTTGACAGATTAATAATCACCATCCTTACACAATTGTGTTGCATTAATTCCCATAAATATTAAACTTCATTTAACTTTAAACCAGCTAAAATTTAATAAATAACGTACTAATTCTAATTTATCTAAAACAAATAACGTAAAAAATAATTCAATAAAAGGGAATAGATAGACAACTTAAACAAATTATTATCATTTTTTAATAAAGTGAAGATTAAAAAAAAAAAGAAAAACATAAATTCTTAATAATATTTTTCCAGAAATCACCGGCGCTGAGCGTTGTAGACGGTAGAAGCAATCGAAGCGTCAGTCACTAATGCAACAGCGATCATATGACCAGAATGAATATTATAGTTTATATGCGAGGAATGTACTTGAAGAATGTTTTATCAACTAAGCCTATATATGTATCCGAACAGATCAAGAAAAATATTAGGAACGTAATTATCTGGCGCGTTGATTACATCTGAAGAATGTTATCGTACGATCATCGATACGATGTTGTAATAATTCTAAGGACGTGTGTGTGTGTACGTATGCTCGTATTTAAATCGTTTTCCTCGACAGCACATTGTACGCATCAATAAAAGAATCGATCCCTTTTCGTGAATTTACGTTTGGAGCAAATATAATATGTAGCTGCGCAAAATTTTATATCTAAAGTATAGCGAGTATTCAATTAGTTTGCGCATTACAGATGCAGCTACTTCGGAGTATACTTTTCTATAATTGTAATTCTATGATTGTAAACTGCAAAGTCAAAAAAATTTTCTGTCTTGTCAGAATAATCAAGCAATGTCCCTCGAAATACACGACTTGTCATATGTTTCTACCAATATACGCTACAATAATTATATTCGTTATACAGAGTGTCCGGTATCAGACATAACCGCCAGATGCATATTAGATGCATGATGTTCAGTAATTGCTTGTGCAGATTTTTTGAAGAAAGTAATTTAGAAAGTAAATATGTGAAAGTTGTTTGCATCTGTTGACGCTTGTGTTTGCGTTTATTCATAATGAGCACATTCGTTGTTATCAGCAGAACTTCAAGAATTTCTTTACTTTCAATTCTGCATGTATCTATTGTGACACTAGCTATCGATAATATGATTACTTTCTCGAAGCGACAAGAAACGGCAATTAGCTTCAGGACACCGCGTGCATATAACTGCATATCACTATGCGCGTGTCATCATTCCACTCGACGCGCGCGCGCGAGAAAGAGAGAGAGAGAGAGATAGAGAGAGGAAATTAATCAAAAAGATTGCCGGATCTCTAAATACGCAAAATGATGGAAGTCGACCTAGAAAGGTAAATTTCCGAGTAAACGGCCGCGATTATCCGCTCGTACGGAAATCCGCGCGACTAATTTCGCGGACTCATCCGCGGAGCGTACTTTCTCCTTTCCGGGGTTTCCGAGGCCTCTCTTATCCGCGTCTCGCGTATGCGTATGCGACCGGCTGAGTCACGTCTGCCTTCTTGGCCGATGAACCTCTTTTTCGTTTTCCCTTTCTCTCTTTCATTCCCACTCCCTCTCCCTCCCCTCTTTTCTCTTTCTCTCTCTCGTTCTCTTACTCCTTGCTTGCTTAGGGTTCCCGATCGTGACGTCGGCCCCGAGCAATTTATGTAAAGCATTCTAGGCATGATTCACGAACTAGTTCGCGCCCTCGTGACCGCCACCGGCGCAGAATGCAGCCGTTGCGCAGCCGAGAACTTGGGTGCATCCGTCGAAGAGTGTTCCTTCCGCGATTTTTCGAATTTAATTATACATTAATTCGGTATATTGATTTTCGCAGGAAATTGTGCTTACAGCGATAAATTAATAATATTAATCAAATTAGCTTTACTTCTTGCGGTAAATTTTTCATTCATATTACTTATGATTCATATTTAATATGCCAATTTTTTGCAAATGTTAAAATTTAATTGCAAAAAATTTTAATTTAAATCAAAGAAATTTAAATACAGGATAATCTTGTTGATTACATATAATTGCAAAATTGACGTAATTATTTTGATGTCACAAAGGCATCTTTCCCCTAGAAATAAATATTTATCTTAATTAGAATGCAAAGATACAATTAAACATTACTAATGAAAGGCATAATAACTTGTCTATGCGTGACTCGTACGCAGGAATTCGCGTAATCTTTTCCCATTACACGCGCAGGACGATCAAGAGAACGAGATTCTTTTCCCCGGCATAATTCACACGTATCGTCATCGGCCGCGATGTGCGTCAATTTCGGTAAATTCATGTCTGATTACTGAGGAACTTAACGGAGGCATGCGACAGTGCAATAAAATTTATTTAACGAGTTTCCATTCATGACCTCCTACGCGACCTATCGACGACGATGACGAAGGTTTACTCAAGTCCTCTACACACATTAGATTCGCTTCAGGTAGATGAGAGATACCACGCGTGCTTTTATGTTTGAAAGATGAAATTCATTTTTACGCGCTAATGTGCATTCTCTAGTACACGCCTTTTATTCAAGGCATGTATTAATATAAAAGATTATAAAGTAAAAAAATATATTTATCATTGAATGTAATTAAAAAATAATAATTCTTATTTTTATATTTCATACAAATAATTTCTAAATAATTTCAAATTAAAATATTTAATTGATTTAGAGTCCAACAATATATGATAAATCTCAATAAGTAGAAAAATAAAAAACAACTTTTTATGACAGAAAATTTAGGAGTTTTTTAGGAAACTGATTAATATTTCCAATTAATTATTCATAGTCGCCGCACCTTTCATTTTAATATGGTCGAACCACGTCAGACAAAGTCAGATAGAAAGAAAGACGTAATTAGCAGTGGAGAAAAGCAGAACAGATGTAGACGTGTGCGCGGCTCTTCTGTCATGGTCATCGAGATGGCAACTCGACATTCCCGACATCTCGCCCCGTCCTTTTCTTCCTCTCTCCGTCCCGGTGTTATATCTTATTGCTTCCACCTTCTGCCCCTTGTCTCCCACCGCCACGATATAGGGAGCACCTTGCACGATGCACCGGATGCATCGGCCTTCGCGCATACCCTCTCTTGGTTGGTCGCTTGAGAGGGTACGAGGAAAATTTAATTAATTAAGAGCATTCGTTCACTTTTTCCAGCTCTTTTAGCCTGATTTTATATCGCTCCAGCATCTCGAACGCATTCTGTCGCGGATTTATTTCGCTCTTTTCGTTTATTGTCTTCAGACACTTCGGAATTTCATGATAAAGGCAGTAGAGACAGTTAGAGCAGTTCAGACATCATTCCACAAAACCAATATTCAGACATGATATTTGCACAAATATTTTGAATTCAAATATAATTATCTTCAAGGCTCAAAAAGACTTGAACAAATTCTCGAATTCAAAGTTCAAACTTCTAAGTTTGACCAATGATGAAAACTTGCACAGAATTAATTTTAAATTAATAAAATGCTTAGCTAATAACTTGATATACTTTTAATAAAATTTCGTCACACTCATTTAGCGTGTCGCAATTCGAAAAGATTCGAGAGAATTTGTCTCACAATTTGAACACAATAAATTTGTCTCTTTTCCTCTCCATTCCCGCTATCTGTCTCATACCACCACGTCGTTTCCCTCTTTCCCTCTGCTGTCTCCCTCCTGCTGTTCCTTCCCTTTCCTTCCGCGCTCTCGCACTCCTCCTCCTCGTCCCAAATCGTGTGGCGAGGAGGCCCCGCTGCCCGACTGACCGTCCTCGGCGCCTCTTATACCTTTACTCCGGTTTGCGCGTTCTTCAGGAACGTACGTGCTCGTTCCACGTTCCACTCGAGAGAGCGCGAGATATACTCCTCTTTTGTAGAGTACACATAAATAGACGTTGTCGATTTTGTCGTCCTGTGGTGCGTCGCGATACCTTGAAGTAGCTAGGTCGAGCTAAGGGCTAGTTCAGCCGTCGTAGTTTTCGAAATCGGTCCCGGCTCGTTCGTTTGCTCAGATATAATCGACAGTTCAAACGGACAGTGATATGGCACAGCTGATCAGCGTCAAGCTGTCCAGGTTCGACGGTTCCGCCTGGGGTTTCCGTTTGCAAGGCGGCAAGGATTTCGGTACGCCGCTCCTCGTCCAAAAGGTGAGTCGACAGATCGACTATTTAGTTACGATAATCTATCATGGATCGGAATAGTCTATCATTCGTCGACGCGATGTTTATTTTCAAGAATTTTATCGACCCCGATATGATATAGGAAGCAAACAAAGATATATTTCATAAAGTTGTCCGCATCTTCTTCTCCTGGTACGTATTAATGTAGGACAACAAAATTTGTGAAATATTTAGCATTGTTTGACACATTTCAACATTAGTCATCTAAAATGTGATGTATATATGATACATTAAACAGAAAAAATAATTCACATCGTACGATGACAGAGATATACATAAATACTGAGATTCGCGAGGTGCATCTTATACTTTTCGCGCGTTCTGTTGGAGAGTACGACTTTTTTATTCCATTTGGAATACGTTCTATTCTTTTTGTCTTAATTATCGGTCATTATTGTACGATGTTTTTCTCAAGCTAATTTAAATATCATGAAAGTGGACTTTCGAACTTTGAAGGAGCGCTGTTAAAGAAGCACTTGTGCCGGATCTCAAGTTGACTGAGGCAGAAGCAGTAGTAAAAATATTTCTTGCAGCCGTTTATATATAGCGATGTTTTATATGGCTATTTTCATCTGTGGTTCCTTGTCGTTCGCTTTCACAACGTTTCTTGATAGTCGAACAGTTCGACAGAAATCGAATCCATGTAGTCCCAAAGTTGTTGAGTAAAAAATTCGGAGCAAGTGTAGAGCAACGCGTCTGTATGATGTTTAACTCGTTTGTATCTTTCGTTCACGTGTCGTTCACGAGATATCAATTGTCACAACTCGTGCGGATCGCGTGGAATAGGATTTTCATTGAGCATAAAGATCGATCAACTTCGCAAACTTCGCTTGACAATTGGAATCATTGATATAAATGATTCGCAAGTAGCAGCATTTTTTTTCTATTTCTATAACTTTCTCTATTAATTTTTTTCTGGAAATGTAGGAATTTTTCTCATTAAAGTCAATTTTTGTCATAACTTGTTTCATTATATATATTATACTAATTTTAATTTATCAAATATGTGTTATGTATATATAATTTTGTTATATTGTATATGGCCTAGAAATAACATTTTATCGTATAAACAATTATTTATCATAATTCTTACCATATCGACTTCTTATCATTTTTATTGTAAAATTTGGGGTGCAAATTTGTAGTATATAGTATTAGGATGCGAATTTGAACACGCAAATCTTGAGTATGCGGAAGCAGATAATACGATAACGAGTTCGAAAGCAAGAGTAAGATGAAAGTGAAACGCAAACAGGATCTCTCGCGACTCGTCCTCCGAAATAAAATCTATATTACAAACTACGGTTGACACTCGATAGACAGATAGCACGTGTTGATGCTCTGTAACACGAGTCTCTAAAATGTTGAAATTGATAGCTATAAAAATTAAAACATGACACGATGATCAATTTTGTGCAACAGAACACGTGTCGAATACAAATAATTATATATATTGTACTTAAAAACAAATTATTGTATTAACATTTAGAATTATAAAAAATGCAGATAAAAATCAATTATCTTTTTTAATTTTGATCTCATATAAAATATTGATATAAATAGCTAAAAATAGAGAAACTTCTAAAATTCAATAATATCTTAATTTTCTGCAATAAAAATATGTTTGACCCGAAAAACATAATTTCCACACTTAATAAACAACTTAGTCATTAACGTGTCAATTATCTTCTTTTCTCTGCGAGAATTTACGAAACCTTTCATTTCATATAATTAGCTATGATCACGAACAAAGTGTTTACTTCATGTAAAATCGGTTTAATTAAAAAGGAGAAAGACAAGTAAATAGAAATTCTGTGCGAGTTTTCCTTCGCGCTTTTCACCGCTTTTCACGATCGTGAGACGCAATTGAGTGTGTTTTGATATTACAATCTATAAGACTCGTACACGTTACATAATGTGGCGGTAAACGCCAAATTATTTCACGCGCATCGGCAGAAATCGTTGCCAACTACGTGCGAAACGCCGAGTTCGCCGCTGCCGCCGCCGCCGTCACTGCCTGCGACGTGTTTTGGCGATGCCTGGCGCTGTAACACGAGAAGCTTTTGGCGAACGTGTAGAGACGCGGGGCGTTCCGGGATTTTTTCCTGCACTTTTTTTCGGACGGATTATGTAGCGTTATACAGCCATAAGCGCTATTATTAAGACGCGTTGTCAGCGAGTGCCAATGTCGAGCGACGACGGATTCCGCAGCTCACGCGCGAACTGTCACAAGTTTGACATCGTCGTGTTTTCCATCTCTCATCTATGTCAATATAATCAATAATCTACGCGCAAATGTGTCAGTTGACAGAATTGTATTTGTACTATTTCGAAAGCTCGAATTATTGCGTTTTATTCCAGCAATTCTTGAATGCCATATGCGTACAATAATTACAAACAGATAATTTATTGTTATATATTGTAAAAAATAGAAGTACGCATGTATATAACTTTTATACAGATAACTATTTAATTTTATTAGAAAAGCGAAAAACGAATTTTTACATTGCGAAATATATTTCGACGGAAAATCGTAATTCGAGTCTCAAGGGCGACAGGTTCCTCGGGTTTCCTCTGGTTTCCCCGCTGTATGCTTAGATTGTTTCGCGAATCTTAACGCATTCGCGAATTGTTTTGGTGAAAGACGCGTCGCGATCGAGTTCAAGTACTCCGAAGTGTAGAAATCAGATCGGCGATCGTTTCTCACAGCGAGAACTTGTACGAAGCGCCTTTGACACTGCTGCACTCATATTTCTTTCCTTTCCGAGAAAGCCGAGGGCGACCGGAGGCCCGTCGTATTTGCGGCCTCGTAAAATAAACGAACCACGTGGTGTGTCACAAAGAAGGCCAAGTTCGAAACGCCGATTAGACATGAAACTGTTTAGCGTAGTTACTGCCTTTTAATTCCTTCGGATTTTTAATCATTCATTGCTGACGTGACAAAGTTGATGTGAAGGACTTCTACTTTATTTTAAAATTATGTCGCTATTAAAATTAAATATTACTATCGCGATATTTTTTCAAATATTTCTTCAATGTTTTCTCTTTCGATAAATATTATATTCAATAAAAAATGAGATAAATCGATGAGAACGTAATTTTTTGTTTAATTTGGATTTGATTTTACCAAATTTTTTGCTCACTAAGAAGTTCAATATAAATTAAATTTAGGGATTATTATAATAAGTAAAATAACGATCTGCTCAATTTTTTTAAGTAACATCCAAACACGAATTAATTAAATTATTCTATTATTTGAAATCATATCATGAGATATCTAAGTTTGGAAACATTTCTAAATTATTCATCCGCGTGAAAATTTCGCACATTCGCTTCGCAATTTATATTGTTTTGAAAATTAGAAAAAGTGCGCCCACGAGAATTAGCCACGACGAAAAAGAGAACAGAAGAGAGTACCGGCGCGCGTCGCTCGTAATCCGAAGCAAATTATTTAGGTGTTCTATTTCTAGAAGGTGCCTTTGCGAAACCCGCATGAGCTGTGGATCGAGTCTCGCTCGCGACGACGAAGGCAGCAGGCGCCGATTTCGACGATAACGACAACGTCGACGTCCTCTTTGCAGGACGTCGTTTTCGTGGTACAGATAAATAATACGGTCGCGAGTATCCGGCCGTGATCTTGAGAATGAAATCAAACGATTTCTGTTGACTAGTGGGCAGAAAAATATTTACACGTATGTTTTTAGAAGTCGTGGAAAAAAACGTTAACGCGCGCTCAACAAGGTTTATGATCCACCGTAAATACGAACGGTGCACGAACCTCGTCGATCATCACGTCAATAAATATTTCTATCAACAGATAGACCGGAGTCGCGTAAATCGACAAAAACATGTTTCCTCTTACAAGAAAAAAAATGATAAAGTGTAACAAAAGTTCTATATAACAAATGCGAATAAAATTTTACGACAGTTCGATAGCAATTTTCAAAAAGTCATCTAATAAATCGAATTATTTTAATTATCATATTTTTAATTTAACTTAGTAACTGATTATTCATCCATTAATTATTTTATCCATTAATTATTAAATATTAATACAGTTAAAATTTTTTTAAATGTATATTTTATATAGTTAAAATTGTTTATAAACCGAATCCTTATATCACGCTTATTTAAGCAAATTTTTATCGTAGATTATTCTCTTTGCAAAAGCTTCTATCTGCGCTTCCCGTGATTCCACGGTGAGTGCACCGGCGGTGTATCGGAGCGTAGGCGTTCGCGTTACGAGATATTTCGCTGGAAAACGGCGTGCACACACGTATCGCGTTATCGTGTCGTGGAAGGACGCGGCATGAATTGCGAATGTCGTTAGCCGATTACGACGTCGCATCGGTGATAAGAATTTTTTCAAACGCGAGGGAACCATCGCAGGTGAAAGGCTTGGTGAGAAAAAAATTGCACAGGAATTTTTTCGACGTCACTAGCGTCACGCACGTGGCGTTGCCCTAATAATAGTGTGTCGTTCTGCTAATTAAACGCTCCTCGGGCGTTATACGTATAACGGAATTTTAACGAGGCAGCATGAGAAAACATTTTACTTCGCGATAGTCGTGCTATATAGCTCTATGTTTAATGAGTAAAAAAAGCGTCTATATTTTAGCAATTATTAGAATAACGATAAATTTGGATCAACACACTGCAACTTTCACAAAACGGAAGAAAATAGATATTATTATAAATTATCACTAATTAAAAATTGCCTTTAAAATTAATATCATTGAATATTTAAAATATACTTTTAAAAAATACATCAAAACTTCGAACTGAACCACGGTTAAACTTAAATAGACATCAAAACTGAGAGCTCTTTATATATATATATATACATTTCTTCTCCAAATATTTTAGATAAAATTTTTTCTTCATTGATTATCGAATAAGTAGACCTCTCTCTGTTAAAGATAAATACACAATATGTGGCATAGTTGGTAATTTGCCAAAGACGTAGA